TGTCATCATTTAGTTTACAAAAAGAAAGCCAAAATGGAGAAGCCATGTGTGAAAAACTAAGGGGTGTACTTCCTTTTTCACACGACTGTATGCCTTTCCCCTACCATCTTTGTAAGACCACATTAGCACACAATACCCAAGTACTTTGTGAGAGAAAATGTTTGCTGATGAAGTGCTTAATTACAAAATTTTAATTTATGAAAAGCAAACTGTTTTATGAACCTGGCAGACGTTATTCTGAGGGTGGTAATCAAACTCAGAACATTCAGGTTTTTGTTACTTACCTTGGAACTAAACATGATGCTATTTGGTTTTGGTTTACCATCATAACCAACTGTTTTAAGAATGGTTTTAAAATTGGTCTTGTATATAGAAATGTTTTAACAACGTACCTAAGTATGATTGTGAATGAAATAACTGGAAATAGGTGGTGTTAGGGATCTGATAACATTTACCAGGAACCCAGAAAACGGGATGGTTACTTGTTCTCACTGAAATACATTAAGCCACTTACCACATAATTACTGACAGTCTCTGTCACAACGCTTCGAACTGGGACTTTAGAGCTTCCCATGGCGGATGGTGCAGGAGATGAGGGTGGAATCAGAGCTGGGGAAATGGCAGCAGGAGGCAGGGGAGGAACTACTGAAGGAGGAGGAGGTGGAGGGGTGACGTGGACAGGAGCTGGTGCTGGGGAGGGCGGTGGCGGCGGCGTTTTGGGCCGAGCCAGGAGAGACGAGGGTTTAGCCTCCGTTGCGGACACCACTTTGCTGATGACACTATCGGACAAAACGAAAAGAGGAGATATAGAAATGATTAATTCAATTAACCAAAATGATGCCCAGTAAGTGGGGGAAAACACATAATTCTGTTTACGGAGGACAAAAGTGGTGGTAGTAGTAGTAGTAAGTTCATAACAGCATCAGAAAGAATTAGGGAGGGAAACAAAATTTACAACATCAAATTCTAATGTTACACAGATTACATAATAATAATTTAGTAATGATACAGCTATAATAGATACGGCCATTACGCCACTTGAAATTGGTGGCTTTCTGAGAATGACTAGCTGAAAATAGAAAGAGTTCAAAGACAGGAATCAAAAGGAGTCTTGTAGCATCTTTTCAGACCAACAAATTTTATTAAAAGGCATAAGCTTTTCTGAGCCATGAAAGCTTATGCATTTTAATAAAATTTGCTAGTCTGAAAAGGTGCTAGCAGACTCCTGATTTTTGGCTACCACAAACCTACATGGCTCTCCATGCAGGAGCAGAAAAAATGGCAGATCTTTCAGCTAAGCTGATGGTCCTACTTCCTGTGACTTTCTCTCATGCAGCTCCATGAGAGGTGCTGAACCACCTTCTTAGGAGAGCGATGGTGTCTCTGCTCTCCCCCTGCTACAGGATTCAATATAGTGGTAAAACCACATACAGGTTGTCCTTGACTTATGACCACAATTGGGACCAGAACTTCCATTGCTAAGCGACGTGGTCATTAAATGAGTCGCACCCGATTTTATGACCTTTTTTGCTGCGGTTGTTAAGTCAATCACATGGCTGTTAAGTGAATCCGGTTTCCCCCACTGACTTTGTTGGAAGCCCCCTAGGAAGGTTGCAAATGGTGATCACGTGACCCCAGGACGCTGCAACCATTGTAAATACATGCTGGTTGCCAAGCCCCAAATTTTGATCACGTACTGCGAGGACACTGCAATGGTCGTAAATGTGAGGACTGGCCACAAGTCACTTTTTTCAGCACCGTTGTAACTTCAAATGGTCGTTAAATGAATGGTTGTAAGTTGAGGACTACCTGTATGCAGAATGATAAAGCAAACTGCTTATTCACTTCAGTCCCTCTCCACTGCTGTTTATGGTGACCAAAAAAGTTTTGAATCAAAACTGTCATTATAACATCAATTAAATATGCACAAGAACATGAATGTGGTGCTAAAATCTACCCACTGAAAACATTTATTATCTGAAGAGGCAATATTGGCGCTTTGAAAGCTGTCTTTGTGGGAATGGAGCAAATAATCAAACTACTGGAAAAGTGAGGAACAGAAAATATTTAATTATATTGTATAGGAAGGATGAGGGAGAAAGTGGAATGGATTTGGATTTTTAATGGTAGCCATGTTTGGGAGCAGAATCAGTTATGAATCTGTGTTCGCAGTAGTCCTTTCTTCCCTTCTAGTCTGACTGCCCACGTGGGCTTGCTAGATAGGAAGTTTACAAGTAGCAGATAAAGACAATAGCATCCCTTTGTGGTTGCAGTTGGTGGCAAATATAATACGAGTTCAACCCGCATAATGCCTAAGCTACTGCTGATAGATACCTTTGAGGATTTCTTTCTGAAACTCTCAAAGGATGGCACTTCACCCGACCTAGACAGCTTACTCAACTGTGCAACTGCTTCTATAGTTAAGAAGTTCTTTTCTTATCCCTATAGCTTAGATCTAGCCCTGGTCTCTAGATGCAATCAGGGAGGTGAGAATGGAAGGCAGGTGTAGCTACTTCATAGGCCTCAACATTTCCCAGGTGCTAATTGTTTTTTTAAATACCATTATAACCATATGACTCTTGGTGGTATATATAAACAAAATGTCCATGCGAAATACAAAACACAAGGACAATAAAAATACTGGCTTTCTCTAAATCATTAGAAACTGAGTTCTTTTAGAAAGCCTTTGGGGGTATAAATTGATTCTTAGCGTTTTCATATAAAGATTGGCAACAACACAGAAGTGGCTTACCATTGCCTTCTTCCAAGGTGCTATTACACCTTTCCAGTTTAGCCTACAGCTCTAGGATTTCCTGCAGGTCTCTCATCCCAGTATAAACCAGGCCTGATACTGTTTAGCTGAAATAATGGAATGATGGATGGGATATGTTTGCTAAGATCTTCAGGAGAGAGCTCTGCCCTGCAACCCACCATCCTCAGAAGCACAACTGATGGGGCAGGGTCTCTTTGGACACAGCACCCAGACTATGACCCACCCTTTCTATACAACATTCCTCTGGTTCCTTTTTTTTTTTTAAACTGCTCATTGGATACTTTGCTATGCAAGTCAAGTCAACAGCCAATGCCAGCAGTCTCAAAAAGAGACACAGCTAAGGAATATTGAAAGGTTGCTTGTTTTAATTTATGGTATTGTGATTGTACAGGCGATGCTTTCGACAATTTTCTAAAGTTTAAAATGAACACATGCTGGAAAACAGGTCAGAGAAATCATTGTGTTCTAGTCTAACTTTTTCAATAGCTAAAGCAGAAGATGGATCTGCAAACTCTGTGTTATTGTTTTATTCTGATGATGATGGAAGCAATAACTCTCGATTAGGATGAATAATATCATGTAGTATATATATACCGTACTCAGCATACAACTATTAATATAAAGCAGGATTACACTGCGATATATAAACAGATCAGAGCCCTGTGCTAGCACTGAATCCATTAAGAATGGAACAGGTAGGCCCAACAGGTAGGTCCAAGTATGCAACAGGTAGGAGACATCTGCCCATTTGGCAAGGAGAAAGGAAAAGAAGGAATTCTGGGGCTTGTAGTCCCAACATCTCTGGAGGACACCAGATCAAAGAACAATGCTTTGGAGAAACAGAAGATAAAGGGTATATTTCAAGATTGCAAATGAATTTTATTTACGCATGATGGCATCTTCAGAGTGTCAAAATGGAGAATTTTAAGGAAGCTCTAACACACAAGACAATATTAGAAGTTCATTCACATTTTGGGAAACTTATTTTTCTATGTTTATCTAATTAGCATGCTGATTGAGTTTGTTTAAATAGCACAACCTTAGTTTGGGAGTGGAAAGAAGTATTCAGGATGAACCTAAGAAAGACAGGAAGTAGTTCAGAGCTGTCATTTCAGCTACAAATCAGAGTTTCTCTTCAAATGCAGATTCCCAAAAGGACAAAATAAAACAAACTTTCAAAAAAGGAGAAGACACTCAAACCTGTGTACACTGGGCTTTTGGTAGGAGCAAGGACAACTGCCAACATTTATTTTGAGGGGCAGTAAACAGAAGAATGCCTATTAAGAAGTTAAAAAAATACTTTCACTAAAAGGTGAGAAAGGATTCTTCAGTGCCACAAGCAGTTCCGGTTTGCAAGACTGCCCCAACAGCACCCTGCAACTGTTGTGTTCTTGTGCTGTTAAAAGTACAGCAAGCCTAAAGAGTTGGCAGCCAGTGCAAGCGCCATGACAATCAAGGTTTGGAAGCAGAGCTCTTTTTGGAGCTTCCCCTCTCTCAAACTGCAATAAGGACATTTTATCAGACCTGGACCAAATACAAGCCCTTTAAAATTCTGGGCTGAAGAAAAATGAAGGGCAGAAAACCAGAAAACAAACAAAAGCAGGGCATTTTGCAGTTGGTTGCATCTCTGAGATGACAGGCCCTCTCCAAAAACCTCTCTCGGTGCCCTTTATTGTTCACCTTTCATTTAAACTGGCCCAATTGTCGGCCACCCAGTTCTCTTATGGTAAAGTGTGAGAGTTTGAGCATTAACTGCTATGATATGCCTCCTCTGCAGAGGTAAATTATGCTGACAAGCAAGCAAGCATTTACACTGGAATTCTTTCTTAAATCTCAGTTTAGAGGAGATGCAGATTTTGATATTTCCTCCAAATAAAGCAGGAACAACACAACCACCTTCAAAATATTTTTCAAGAGTCTTATGGAACAAGGTTAGAAAGACAGCATAGTGGAAGGAGAATGCGTGCACCACAACTTCTTGGGTACTGGTCTTCCTAAAAAATAACATTGGTCTTCATCCCTACAAACTTGAACAGGGCATAGGAGTGTTCAGAAAATGAGCTAGGTTGCTACAGACCTCACTGCTGGCCATTTGGGACATGCTGACAGTACAATTTGCCAAAAGCAGCTGGAAGAACAGAGACAAAAGTACTGGATCTGAATGCAGAAGTTGGATACTCTTCTGCAAAAGCAATTCGTCTTGGAAATAAACTGAGACAAGAGCATTGTGGCCGGTTTTCAACTTCTTAGGGTATGGTCAGAAAAATATGAACATATGCAGAAAAAAATTGCAGAAACCTGGCTTGGGCTTTTTCACATTTTGTTGAAAACAAAATATTATGTAAACACAAAATACCTGGTACATGTAATTTCAAAGCTAAGTAATGATCAACCAATAACAATTCAGTGTTCTTAGCATAAGGGACTGCAGATGGCAGAATGCTAGTAAGAGTAATTACATTTTCAGCTCAGTCCCTTTGTCCCATGCACTCATATCCCATAGCAAAAGGAAACCAGGGTCCTACTTTCCTTTCGACCCATCAAATGTGAACCTTCTTACTCTTTATTGGTAGGGTTGTATGCAGAAAGCAGGCAACAAACATCCATGGCTTTTGTTATCAAACATTTGGGGTTGGGGTATCAAGGACTGCTTTGAAATTTTCTTGCAGACCTGGTCATTCTTCCTCAATAGCAGCATTGACTGCCATCTTTGTCCTGGTTCTGTTTTCTAATCCTGAGCATCCACAAGCTCACCTCCTCACTTTTCCATGAGAAGGAGTGACTGACGGGCTTTATTTGAAAGGTTTATTTAGAACATGTTGCCTAGTTATCTTAGGTATCATATCCACAATCTAGCTACCACTCCCTTCAGCTAATAATGTTCAGCAGGAGTAGATACAGAAACTGTTTTGCCTTACGCCACTTGGCTGCGATGGGGTAATTTTCAAGAGGGGTGGGTAGCCTTATCAGCCCATCTGAAGGCAGAAGACGATAAGTGGCAACACA